TAGAACCCTCAGTTTGTTTCTAAGAATCCATCATCTCTCATGGTTCATCTCCCCCTCCAATTCCCCTCCTTCATTCTTCCCCTCCTGCTATCTTCTTCTTCTTCTTCTTCTTCTTTTTTTCTTAACATATATTGCATTATTTGTTTCAGAGGTACAGATCTGTGATTCAACAGTCTTGCACAATTCACAGCGCTCACCATAGCACATACCCTCCCCAATGTCTATCACCCAGCCACCCTTGAAAATGTTTTAATAAAGGAACACTGAACAGAGGTGTGGGCAGATCTTTCTAACAAGCTCTCACAGTATACATCTAGATCTTCTCTCTTTACAGTTTCCTAAGTTCATTTAGATCAAATGTATAAGTCATCCTGATCATCCTGATTGAAAGATGGCAGGTTTTTTTCATTTGTCTTTTCTTGGTTTCTTGCTTCTCAACTCTTTTTACATCAAGCCAAACTTAGGAATGGAGGAAAATGGATAAGCCTTCTTCCCAGCCTGCACTACCTCCCAGACTGAGAAGATTAATTTCTCGGCATAACCAACTAATTGGGAAGTTGTGCCCCAGGCCTATTTCTCATTTTCTTGATTTTCTTCAAATAACATTTTTCTTTGTATACCAAGCTTTTTCGATTATGTTCTGTTTCTATCTCCTCTCCAAAATCACATATTCTCTATCCTTTCTATCACCAACCAGATGCCTCAAAGAAATGACTTTGAGTAAACCATCAGACTGGCTAAACCTTGATCTTTTTTTTTTAAGATTTTATTTATTTATTTGACAGAGACAGACACAGAGAGAGAGGGAACACAAGCAGGGGGAGTGGGAGAGGGAGAAGCAGGCTCCCCTCTGAGTAGGGAGCCCGATGCAGGGCTTGATCCCAGGACCCTTAAAGACTGAGCCACCCAGGTGCCCCTAAACCTTGATCTTATCATGAGGAATATTCCTTCCCTTCTGAAATCTGAAACTTGGGGCTCTCTGGTACTTTTTTCAGTGCCCTTACAATCCACCCTTTTTATTCATAAATTGGCTTTTTTTTTTCCTACTAGAAACTGCCAGGGAAATGCATTGTCCCTTCAAAAATGTCTCCTCTCTCTTCAATATTAGTTATTAATACCACTCCCCAAAACCAGACTTGAAATCTTGAAGCAGTTTTAAAAAGTTTAAACTTTTTAACTTCTTCCTCGATACCCTATTTATTTACTCAATTGCATAGGCTTCATGGATCTGCTCCCAGAGCGTTTCCCATCCATTTATTTCTTTCTACTCTCTCTCTTTCTGCTTCTTTAGTGCTTGCCCCTCTTTCCAGCATCCTCTCCATTCTGGATTTTATTTTATTTTTATTTTTGGGGGGGAGGGGCAGAGAGCAAGGGAGAGAGAGAGAGAATCTTAAGCAGGCTCCACCCCCAGTGCAAAGCCTAACGCAAGGCTCCATTTCATGAGCCTGAGATCATGACCTAAACTGAAATCAAGAGTCCAGGGCTTTACCAACTGAGCCACCCAGGCGCCCCGACCATTCTGGATTTTAAACATTAAATATTCATACCTCTGAGTGGTTTGTTTGCCTTTCAGGATTAGGACTTAAAAAAGTAACTTAGAGTAATGTAGGAACTTTTTAAAGACTGGCACTTTACAGTTTATTGGGTGCAACCATAAGAACTTGTCACAGCCATGCCATCTTGTAATTAAAAGTTTGTTATTTTTGAAGTACCGCAAGAGGATAATAAAATGTTAGAGCAAACATTTATTCACTTGGATAAATACTGGGTTTAGATGGAATATTCTTAAAAACTCTTCCTTCTAAATTAATCTTTTGATCTACTTTTTTTTTCTCTTGTGCACTGGTTATGATAAAGTGAAACTTTATTATTTTTTTTAATTTTTTTTATAAAGTGAAACTTTAAATATAGTTTCTTTTGTGGTGAGTTCCTTTGCTTAGCGTGTAGAGTTAACAAGGCTAAGGACACTGGTCTGATTTCCTGATGGATCAGTTATCATCCTGCTTAGTCTGTAGTCACAGACTGTCCTTGAAATCATGGCCAACCATTTCATAAATGTTAGTCATGAATAAGACAGAGAAGGGGATTCAGAATGTCTTGGGAGCAATTCATTCTGAAACAAGTTAAGGCACATCCTCTACCAGAAATGGTTTAGGAATTTTGTCCTGTTTCATATACAAGTGATATACATACTCATAATAATATACAAGTATTTAATTTCCATAGTTTGTTGCAGATTGCATCTCTCTGGCTCCCAACAGTGTTAGCTGCTATAGTTTTCCATCTCCTTTCTCTGGTCTTTAAGCTGGATGGCTTATTGAATTTACCAGAAGTGTGTTGAGATGAAAAGGACATGGTATGTGGAGTCAGATCTTGTGATCTACCTCTGTCACTCATTAGTTGTGTGCTCTTGGTTAAGTTTCTTCATCTCCACATTTCTGTTTCTTCTGAAAACATACCTACTTTATATGGTGGTAAGAATTTAAAAAGATAATGTCCGTAAGTCACGAAGAACTTAGTCCACATTGAATGCTCAAGTTCTCTACTTTTCTTTGTGATATGTAAATAAATGTAATCAATTGGTTTGGCAAGTTCGTATGGCTACCATTTATTCAACATCTACTTGGTGTCAAGCATGCTGCCAGGTGCTTTATATATATTATCTCTACTCCTCACAATAACCTCAAAAAGCTATTTATAATTATTTCTTAAGGATGAGGGAACTGAGATAAGTTGCTGCTGTCTGGGATGCATGGTTCTCACCTAAGTACATTATACAGTAAATTGGGGACAGAGGGATATTTCTAGGGAAGAGGTTTTTAAGCATTGTAGTTTAATTATTACCTGGAGTTGGGGGAGGGAGTGTTTTTTAAAAAGCCAGATTCCTAGGACCCACCTGCAAGGATCCTGGGTCTGGGTAGGGTCCAGGAAAACACAATTTGAACAAGCTGCGTATGTTATTTTGATGCAGCTGTTTTTTTGGAGGACACTTGGATAAATGTATCTGCATCATACCTTAATTTGGTTTTTTTATTCTTACCCTCCTTTAAACCATGAGAGGAGGAGGACCATTTAGAGGCCGGCTAGCACCTATATGCCAAAATATGAATTTGCTAAGGAAACAACACTCCTCTTACTCTCAACTCTTCAAGGTGCTTACCCTCTGGTGAAATCTCCTTCTACCTCCTGCAGTTCTTGATGTCTTCATCAACCTTGTTGGTCTAGGTTCATTTTAACTGTCTCAACAATAAACATAAAGAGGAGCAGAGATGGGACCTTTACAGGCCATTGCCCTATGGAACTGTCACAAACCGTAATTTCTTGCAACCTCAATTTTCTTAGCTATAAATGGGGATGACCTTTGTCTTATAAAGTTATTGTAAGGATTGCCACACTGGCACTTGGTAGGTATTTGTAAATGTCACTGTTATTATTTGTTTAATTTTGAGGTGAGGTGTCAAACATGATAGCACATGTTAATATTAATATAAATAATATGTTAATAATATATAAACATATATTAAAGTGCTCCAGGGGCACCTGGCTGGCTCTGTTGGTGGAGTGCAGGACTCTTAATCTCGAGGTTGTGGGTTCCTGCCCCACGTGGGGTGTAGAGATTACTTAAAAAAATAAAATCTTAAAAAGAAATAAAGTACTCCAAAACCAGCTTTCACAATAGGAAACTTTTCCTTCCAACATAATCTTTTGGAGAATGTGATGAATGCTATGGAGCAGCGCCATCCATTGAAAATATAGTGCTAGTCACATAGGTAATTTTAAATATCTTAGTATGCACATAAAAAAGAAAATGGATGAAATTAATTTTAATAATATATTTTATTCAAATATAAAAATCTTATTCCAACATGCAGTCGATATAAAATTATTAATGAGGTATTTTACATCAAAATTTTCATCCTAAGACTTTGAAATTCAGAGTGCTTTTTTGAACTTTTATCCTACCTCAGTTTAGGTACTAAGTTTTCAATGGTGAAGTGAAATGTAGTCCTACCCAAACAGTAAAGCTGTGTTTGACACAAATGCTACCCTGCTTCAGTTTTTAAATGTCAATTAAAAGTATATAGAACAAAAAATTCAGTGCCTTAGTCAAGTAGCCATATTTCAAATGTTCAAGAGCCACACATGGCTAGTGGCTACCGTTTTGGTCGGAGCAGTATTGGATTTTGTCCTCTAGAAGGCTGTTCTATACATCAAGGGGATTCATGGACCCCATGAAGTTCATCCTTGCTTTACATGCTCCTTGGTTAAAAATTGTCCTTTTCACTTTTTATAAACCCAATTCACAGTTTTAAAAAGTCAACAAGTTACTTTCCATATATTCACTGCACATTATTTAAGTTTGTTTATGAATAAATTCCCTGGGATAAATCCAGCAACTTTACAGAAACTGAAGAGTGGGCTACTGATTTGTTGGACTTAGTAATGAGGATATACTTGTTGAACGGCTTTTGGCCCTTGCTCTCTATCACTGTCCACAGAATTTGACTTCTAGATATTAGGGTTACCCATTTTCACCTTCCTGACAAGCAAACTTCAGGGTCAGCCCTTCTCAGGGCACGTAAAGCTCTCTCCAAAAACCAGGCAGTAGTCGGTGAACTTGCATAGCTAGGGATTTATCCAAAGCCCTCTTCTATTTTTAGCCAGAACAACTGCTTGCCAATTCAAAGTTTCTGGAGAGAGAAAGGCATCCATTACAAAACAGACACGAGGAGCATACCTTCGCCAGGTACTGCTCAAAAATCCCCTGACGACTGCTACCGAAACTCGGTAGCTCAATTGTTTTCCTGCGGGGGCTTCAGCTCGCCTCAGCAAGCCCGCGCGCCTGACTCTTGCGTACCCTACTCCGCCCGCCTGGGGCAGCCCTGCCTGGCCGGGGGCGTGGCCGGGAGCGGAGGGGGGCGTGTCTCCGCCTGGGGGCGGGGTCGGAGAGTGCAAGGAGGCGGAAGTTCCCCGGGCTGTGGGGACGGCGCACGCACTCGGAATCACTTGTCAGCGCTCGTCTGAGGCAGAGGCAGCGCCGCGCCGGACTCGAGGTGAGTGACCGCCGGGCGGAGATGCGCGGCTCCTACAGCCCGAGGGGAGGAGGGGGAAAAGCGGTCTCCCTGCGCCCAGTGCGCGGAGGGAAGCCCGGCTGGGGAGCAGGAGGGGGCGCGCTTCGCGCGGGGACGGCTCCTCAGGTGCTTTCTGGAGCGGCGGAGGTGAGAGAGCCGCGTGGGAAGAGGAGCTCCCGGGAAAGGGCGGCGCGGGAGTGGGCGCAAGGCCAGAGGACGAGCACTGTAAGTTCCCGGAGCTCGGGTCGGCCGGGACGTGGAGCTCCCCGGCACCCCCGCAGCGATCCGCCGGCCAGCCAGCTGCCGGGAGTCGCCGGGCGTCGCCGGGCACCTACTTTGCCGTCTGGGTACACCCACGTCCTGCGGGAACCTCTTTGGGGTGTAGGGAGCGGGACTAAACGGGAAAGGCGTGTTATTTTTTTGTTGGCTTTCGCCCTACTGAGAAGTGTTTATTTCCCCCCAGATATTTAAAATTGTGTACCTGTTTGGGGAAACAGCCGTGCGACCAGAAATAAAGCTTGTTTAAAAGAATCTGTCATAATCTACAGATTTATTAACACTTGAGTACTTGTTGGGACTTTTGTAAGACTCCCTTCAGTGCATTTGACAATAAGTGGAAAAAGGAAGGGCGTCTGGACAGGGCAGAGCTAGGAAAGAAAATTCGTGGCTGCGTCGGGCAGGGCAGGTCTCGGGTGTGATCGCCAGATCCTATCCCAAGTCCGCCTTCCTGACCGTGGGGACGTCGGACCTGCCAGCCACGGAAATAGCCCGCTCCGGAGCCTTATTTGGCAAACAGGGCTAGGCGTGAACCTCTGCTGGAAAAATGTCTTGTCGACTGCTTTCATCATGTGCCTGTGGCTTTAGTTCTTTAGCTCTACTCCATTATCTCCCAATTTGGGGAAAAAGAGAATCTCAAGATACTGCTCGTTAATTTCAGACCCTTCTTGCCACTGAGTTCTCCTTTCCCTCTTCCCACTCACCGAAGAAGCCGGGATAGAAGTGTGGGAAATACCAAGCTTCCTTCCCAAATATTAAAGCGAAGACATTGTTTTTAGACTTTCCCTAAAAGAAAATCCCAAACCGTGCGGAAGGTCCAACATTTTCTTCGTGTTTGAAAGCAGAATAGGCTGCTCACTATTTCCTGCTTCCTTAGGAGGAGTTTGGGCACTAATAACCAGATGGGGGAGACCTGGAAAAAGCCAATAATAATATTACCATTACTTAGGGATCAGAATGTTTTAAGGCAAATGAAGCTAGCAGAGGGAGAATACTAGAAATGAAATGACACTGGTTCTGTAGTGTGGCTGAGACCTTGCCAGTGCTAGAAATTTTAATAACTAAGATAAATCGGGAAGGAAACTCCCAAGTAAAGGGAAGTTGTATGTACATGGCTTGATATATAAATTACATACATTTTCTTGTAGGGAACAGTGGGTCCAGAGTAAGTTGAGCCTAATTCTCACATTGTTCTCTTGATACAGGTTAAAGATTAAAAAAGGAGGGGGCAGCCTGCCTCGGAAATATCTGTTGGCTTTACACGCTTCTGATTTATATCATATAATACCGACGTCAGAACAATCTTTCTTTAGTAGTTCTATGAAAATCTTTTATTACAGTGGGAAAGCAATTAAATTATGTGTGGTTCTTAATTATCTTTCTGTTATTTGTTGTTCATGTGTATCTAACAGTTTGACTTCTGGCATGGCCAGTAGGTCTTTTTAGTGCCCTATGTGTATTACATCAGTACTGAATATGTATTACCATGCCAGTGGAAAAGCTCATCTCATTTTTGGTGCAGTACAGATTTTCACTGGTTTAATTTTTCTTTAAGGACCAGACTTGAAAGTTTTGCCTCATTTTCCCCTTATAAGAAGTTACATCTTCTGCTTGTTTTTAATATGCCCAATGATTCACATACCTACATGTGCCAATATTAATTTGGTGTAATGGGATCAAAGTTTTGAATGGGTTAAAAAAATGGAAAAATATTTTAAGACAGGTAGTAATATAAGGTGGTGATTTAGTCCAACAGCATAGATTTTCCAAGGAAGTGTGTCTTCAACAGTTTTCTTTTAAAATGTGGTTTTAAAATTATTAAATTATACATCCACTATATTTTTAATATTTTTAAAGGGGGAAATAATATGTTTCTTTAACATTACATTTTAGAAAATATCCATTTCTCCCAATTTCTCCCACCACACATACTCAATCATACCAACCAATACAAAACTCAAAGTAAAACCATGAGAGTCATTATGGGTGCACTTACAGCAAAACAAGAAAGACAACACTGAAGTGCTGCTGCTTTTCTAAGGCTCCAGTTCGCTTTCATGCATTAAGATTCACCTTATATTCCTACCCCATTTAGTCATCTCACTCACTGTGTGGTTACTGCTCGTTCTTTACTTTGCCTGATGTGGTGTGTGTATAAAACAAGAAGCAGGTTCTCACTGAAATATCACTGTGCTAGACTAGTGCCTATCATTGCCTGTCTAAAGGAAAAGTAAATATTGCTCTGTGTCGAAAATACCATGTCCCTTTGAGAGGAAATACAAGTTGTAGTTGATGATTGGAGAGAACAAACAACTTACTTTAAAAAAATTATGTATGTGGAATGAGAGTCTACAGATATGCAGTCCTTTCATGTCGGAGAGTAGCTTAGAATTTAAGGACTCTTACCAACTCCAGGCTAAAGAATGCATGAGGTAGAGGGAAGGGGAATATCATTTTGAATTAAACCTGAAATGAAATCTTGTTCTTTCTTCTCTGTATAGTGAAGTGTTGTAAAGTACTTTGAGTTAAAGTTTGTATGCAAAAAGCCACAAATTGTACTGTAGCCAGTTATAAAACTGATCAAGTGTCTAGAAATAGATTCTGATATGGAATTTTTAGATTATGGAAATTGGCATCAGTTTAGAAATTGTATATTAGCTCATAGATTCCTTTTCCTGAAAAGACTGCAATGAGAATTTAATGTAGACTTATCCTCTGTATCTTCTCATCCCCCCGAACGAAATATTGAACATAATTTAGTTGAGTTTATATTAAATACTTTTAAATATGTGATAGGGCTTCAAATAAACATTTTGTTAACCATTTAATTTTCTTTCACAGTTTCTTTCATTTTCTGGGATTGGACTTTGAGCTATTAGAGCCATGAGCAACTACAGTGTGTCCTTGGTTGGCCCAGCTCCTTGGGGTTTCCGGCTGCAAGGTGGCAAGGATTTCAACATGCCTCTGACAATCTCTAGTGTAAGCAAACTTCACAGATTTTATTACAGATGTTCATTCAATGCTTAGTCTTGGAAACCTCAGGGCTGAGTTGTTGAATTCTCTGGATAACCTGTACTTATTACAGTTGCTTATGGGATTTAATCTCAGCACACTTAGTTATGTATAATAAAGGATGTGGAGGGGAGGGAATTTAACAAGGATAATCGATTTCAATTAAGCTTATTTTCAGTTTCCCCCATCTTATTAATAAAGAAATGGAAAGGATTTAACTAAGGGGCAGACTTCAAATCTTTGAACTGTCACTCATTTGGGGAATCTGGACCTTAGTTTCTTCATATGTAATATTAGAAAGTTGCATAATGGGATTTTCATTGTTCCTTTCAGCTCCAGAAGCTGTTAATTAAAAACTGTTGATCAATATCCAATAAAATCACTGTTTTTGGTGTTATTTCCTCAGCTCACTTTCTGGTGAAGGTGATAGTCAACAATAAAATTGCCAAAGGCTACTTATCTTTGAAGAGGGATTGAGGGCTTGGATCTCCTAGATAGTCAGTTTATAAATAATTGAGATTTGGTTGTTTACCTCATTATGGATTTAGTCTGAATGTATTCTGTGTATACAATTTGAGGATATATTTTCATGATGATGATTATGTCTTTTGAGGCTTGACTATGTGTCAAGCACCATTTCACTTTCTTCTTGCTATTAGTTGCTTGTATAATGTTCCAGAGGGCTTTTTTTTTCATGGTCAAATAAATATGAATATCCACTCCCCTTTTACTTATATGATAGCATGTTATATATGCTGCTCCGTGTCTTTTTTTCTCAATAATTTATCATGGAAAACTTTCCCTCGAGGTTTTTTTGTTTTTGTTTTTAACAACTATGTAGAATTCTGTTGTAGGGAAGTAGCATTTATTTAGCCAGTCTCCTATGGAAAGGCATTTATATCATTTCCAGTATCACTATTACAAACAGTGCTGTAGTGGATACCATATATACATAATTTTTTATGTATATGTATAAACACGTACAGTTGACTCGAACAATACAGATTTGAACTGTGCAGGTCCACTTACACAGGGATTTTTTTTCAATAAATATATATACAATTCTGTAAATGTATTTTCTCTTCCTTATGATTTTCTTTTTTCTTTTTTTTTTTAGATTTATTTATTTATTTTAAAGAGCGTGCGAGAGAGAGCACAGGCAGGCGTGGGGAGGGGCAGAGAGAAAGGAGAGAATCTCAGGCAGAATCCCCTCTGCATATGGAGCCTGATGCAGGGTTTGATCTCAAGACCCTGACATCATGACCTGAGCCAAAGTCAGGGGTGCTTAACTGACTGAGCCACCCAGATGCCCCCTTATGATTTTCTTAACATTTTCTTTTTTCTAGTTTACTGTATGGTAAAAATAAGGTATATATAACATATAAAATATGTGTTAATAGACTATGTTATCGGTCAGGTTTTCAGTGAACAGTAGGCTATTAGTATAGTTAAATTTTGGGGCAGTCAAAAGAAATACATGGATTTTTGACTGTATGGGGAAGTCAGTGCCCCAACCCTCATGCTGTTCAAGAGCCAACTGTATATGTGTATGTGTATATATATATGTGTATATATATATACACGCATGTATATGGACACATACATACACAATTTCGATAGATTGTACCAATTTACACTTCTGCACAATGCACAAAAATACCTCCAATTCCCACCCCCCCAACAGCCTTGCCAGCAGACTTTTGGATTTTTGCCAGTTGCTTTAGGTGCATCATCTCATTTAATTCTCATGTCAACCTGTGAAACAGTGGTACTGTACCCATTGTACAAAACTGTGCTATGAGCTCAAATGGCTGGTGTGGAAGAACTGGCTTTCAAGCATTTATGTTATGCTACTTCCCTAATGATAAATTTTATCTATAGATTGTTTCTTTAATTAGGTTTTTTTCTCTAATCAGGTATTTCAGAGGCTGTTTTAATTATACACACACACACACACACACATATACACACTGTGCTTCTTACTATATATACACACAACTTGATTTTGAAAGATTAAGTTTGTAACACATGAAAATATCTGCTGAAATACAGCTAATCCCTGTTTACTAATGGAGTTTTCCTTGTTTCTTGGCTGTGGATTTTTTAAACAGTTTATTTTATTTTATTTTTATTTATTTTATTATTTTTTTAAAGATTTTATTTATTTATTTGACAGAGAGAGACACAGTAAGAGAGGGAACACAAGCAGGGGGAGTGGGAGAGGGAGAAGCAGGCTTCCCACTGAGCAGGGAGCCCTATGCGGGGCTTGATCCCAGGATCCTGGGATCATGACCTGAGCCGAAGGCAGACATTTAATGACTGAGCCACCCAGGCACCCCTATTTTATTTTATTTTTAAACAATTGGCTTTAATTTACCACCAATTTCTGTCTTGATTCCAGTTAATCAGATTTTATAAGGAAATTCATAGATATAATCCAGCCTCTAAGTTTTAAGACTTCATGGTTGGGTGAAATTTAAAATGGAAAGCATCCATGTGAAAATGTGTCTTGTGATTTATTCCTGTTTGAACAAGGCAATTTTTTTCTCTTACTGAAGATCTTTTATGAAGAAAGGAATGATATTTTAGTATTGTCTTGTTTTTATGTTCTTTTAACATTATTTATATTAAGTTTGAATATCTTACTTTATAAATGGATTACAGAAGTTATTGTTTAGTTTAAAATGCATCCATTTTTGCTGGGAAAAAAGTCCAGAAACAAATTGACACTTAATGAAACAAACTAAAACATCACTTTGTTGTTTGGTAATAAAAATGCAAATGTAATGTGTAAATTTTGTGGTATCATGCCTTTAAAAGAGTTTCCTGTGCCTTAGTTCCCTGGCAGACAGTTTGAGGCCTAGCTCCATGTTGTGATGCTGATACAACAGAACACTGTGTACATACATATGTGCCCTCCCCTGGCACAGAAGAAATGCTTTCCTTGTGTAGACAGAGTGCTAATTAAAGGATTTTGAACATACTGATTAAAAGAGACTGCGGTAACAAAGCTGCTGAGTTATTTCTGTTCTCTTACAAAAGTCTCTGCCATCTCCTGTGACCTTTTTGGGCCTTGTGCAGTGGGGCATGCAATTCATTCTGGACTGGAGAGGATGGGAAGGGGAGGGGAGGAGAGAAGGGAATGTTGGCTCAACTGTGCTGCTAGGCTGGTGGCTTTCATTGTAAGTTACTTTTAACCCCTTGTGTGTTTCAGTTCAGACATGCCTAGTAACATTGCCTAATAAAGATGTGTGCCTAATAACTAATTCATATTGTTGTAGTAAGAGTAGTAATGTTAGGCCTCATCTTACTTATTTCTCTAGTTATATTTATTTTGCCTTAATTATCGGGATATATTTTTGTGGTCATTAAATTGTTTAATAGTGTCAAGGAGTAATTAAAACTTGACAGCATGCCTTAAAACATATAATTTAGTAATTCTTTTATATTAATGTTATGTATGAAATTCTTAGCAGGGTCTGGCACATTGTATTCTCTTAGCTCTTATTTTTTTACAACAATATTATATTAAAAAGAAAAAATATTTTGATACTTGAAATATCAAATACCCCATAATTGTGGGTAATGTAGGAGTTATATTTTTTTACTTAAGAGTCTACTGGAATTGAAAAAGAAAAAAAAAAATCACATGTTTGTGCTTAGTTGGGAAGCTGCATGTTTATGTTTAGATTTCGAAAGCATCCAGTTTTTCCTCTGGTCAGGTATCGCTGTGTCGAACTCCATAGGGCTATTTACGTTCCCTCCTAACATTGGAACTCTGTGACAGCAAATGTATTTGTGATAAGTAGGCCATTGGCTGGGACTTGAACATTCTGTTTTCCTGAGATTTTGTTGTTACTAGCGTGTGAATATGCTGGATATGACTTTGTGTATTAAAGCATGCAAACTGTATGATTTTTTTTTTTTTGCAAACTGTACAGTATTTAACATTTCATACAGATTTACCCATTATCTATAGTGTACAAATTTTACATTTTTTTTTAATAGGTGGGTTTCTAAGACAAAATTGGTAATTCCTGCAAACTTTTAAAAAGATCCTTAGATTACTGTGACTATATAATCACATGTCATTATCTTCAGTTTCCTATTCTTAAAATGGAGTACTGGCTAAGAGAGTTTGTAGGCTGCCTTTTTATGACCCTGTATTTATGGAATTGCCTTGAAGCCATGGAATGTGGGGAGGGGTTTCATTGTAGCAGTGTGGGTTATTGGTCTTTGCCAGTATATTTTATAAGAAGAAATAGGAGACTTCTTGCACAATTCAAGGCCATATTTTGGCAAGTTGATGTTCCTCATGATGGAATTACAGGAAGGATGATATATTTGTGAATAATATCTTTTAAGTATGGCATCCTAAAGTTGAAGTCTCTGTTGTGTGTTGTTTTCTGATTTATGATGTTAGAGTTTTTTCCTTAAAATGTCAGTATTTGAATTTCCTGAAGATGAGCTCCCAGTTCTCCATAAAACATCTACATTGTTTCTTTAGCAGATAAGAATGAGGCCAGATATTTTAATACAAATTAAATTAATATTACTACAGATAATGATTTTGATTCTCAAGAGTTAGGAGAGGATTAGTTGTTACCAACTAGGACAAGATTTTAGTTGGATTTGAAAAGCAAAGGAAATTTACTATTTTCTGGAGTATGGACCTTGGCTTGGGAATGTAAGACAGAACAGAGAGAAGACGGCTGTGAAACATTTTGCCAAGAATTCATTTATTCAGCAATTATAGGAATACTTCCTAGAAACCACTTAAGAAGATACAAAGTATTGGGGGGTACAGAGGTTGGGGAGAAAAGAAATAAGTATAGTACTAGACATCGTCATAAGACCTATCACACAAGACATTTGATGAAATTACAAAGATACAGATAAGTGTTTCTCAGTTTCAGTGGGCTTTTGTATTCGTGGGGTTGGCTTCCTGCAGGAGAAATTAATTGAAA